TGCACCAGGAATACCTGCGGGAGGAGAGGCAGGCAGGGTCAGGCAAGAGGCTTCCAAGTTCCGCTCCACGGCACCCCCTGCACCGCCACCGAGGCCAGGCCACACTTGACAGAGGTCAAGGTTGGATTCTCTGTCAGGGCACGTGCCTGGGGTTGTGCTCAATCCCCAGTAGGGGGACACCAGTGAGACGATGGGTGCTCCTACCCATCACAGCGAGGCCAGGTGGGGCAGGGCGGGGGTACGTGTTGGCGGTGGTCGCCAGAGCTCCTGCACTCCGGCAGGTAAGGAGGGTGCCAATGCCGTGGCCCGGGGTCCGGGTTCAGCCCTGGTTCTGCCCAGGTGTGCACCGACCCTGAGCTCGGCTCTCGGGTGCTTTAGAAATAGTCCCACCCCTCACGTCTGTGAACAGGACAGCTCGTGCTCCAAGTGCCAGTACATGAGAGAAGCAATTCGAATAGAATCCAAAGCGGAAATGGTGGGTTTTTTTGTTTGTTTTGTTTTTAAATATATTTTTATTGATTTCAGAGAGGAAGGGAGAGGGAGAGATAGAAACATCAGTGATAAGAGAGAATCACTGATGGGCTGCCTCCTGCACACCTCCTACTTGGGATCGAGCCCGCTACCCGGGCATGTGCCCTGACCGGGGATTGAACGTGACCTCCTGGTTCATAGGTCAACACTCAACCACTGAGCCACACCGGCCGGACTGTGAAAGTGGCAAAAAAACAAAACAAAACCAAATGTTGCATTCATGCATGGGCTGAGTCATCCAAAGGCTGGAACGATTCTAAAGGACGAAGAGCAAACCGCACATCCCGGAGGGTCTGTGCCTCTGAGCAGCCTCGCTCAGTGAGGGCAGCGACAGTGCCCGGGAAATGTCCGCGCTGCCCGGGGTGGGGGAGGGACCGGGATGTCCGGACAGGAATTGGGAAGCGCCTGGAGTCTGCTCAGGGGCCACGAGGCTGAGCATGCGCAGACGGCCGTGGAGGAAAAGCCCGCTGTGCACACAGGATGCCAAAGGGTCAAGGACGGTCAGCATCAAAGTGAGTGACGAGGCCACATGTGTGGCCGCCACAGCTGCAAAGGCGCTCCCTGTACCCTGACGGGGAGGAGGAGGGGTAGCCTGCCGACAGCTCCAACAGACGTGTGTGTGGGCGGGGGTCAGCAAAAAGAGGTCCCCGTGTTAAGCCTGGTAAAAACCAGCTCCCACTCCAAAGGGTGGGGAGAGCTCAGGGACTCAAGCTGGAAACCTCCCCCGCTTCCCATGGGGCGTGTGAAACAACACAGAGGAAAAGGCTGGAGAATGTCAAATCTGTGCGGCTATGGCGGTGACAGGAACTTTAGTGGTAATGAAAAGTCATGCTGGCCCGGCCGGTGTGGCTCAGTGGTTGAGCGCCGACCTATGAACCTGGAGATCAAGGTTGGACTCTCTGCCAGGGCATATGGGGAATCTCAGAAGAATCTCAAAAGGGGCAGGTGGAGCAGGAAGAATTTATATGCATACATGCATTGCACATGGACACAACAATAGGGTGGTGAAGACCTGGGGTGGGGCAGAAACTGGGTGGAGGGGGCAATGGGGGAAAAAGGAGGAAACATCTGTAATACTCTCAACAATAACGATTTTTTAGAAAGAGAGACACTTGAAGACATATTAACTCATTGCAACATGTAGACATTGGTTCCTAACTCAAAGAAACTGCAAATAAAAGATTATAACATTTATGAAGCAATTGGGAATTTGAACACTAACTGGATATTTGATAATATTGAGCAATTATCATTCATTATTTTTACATATGACAATAGTACTATGATCATATTTTTTAAGAGAATTTCTTATCTTTTAGTTGTATACAGTGAATCATATACAGGATGGAATGAGCTGAGGAGTGAGCATATAGAAAACTCACTAAAGCAGTGACCCATATTTTTCACTGGGGAATCCTACCCTGCAAATGTCAAGATGAGAAGAACTTCTCTCAAGGAAACATTCAGTAGCTCAAGAGAAGAATTCACCAAACTCTTGTCAATAGTGGGGGAGGGGCAGGACCCACCCCAGGCCTCCCCAGTAGGGGGCGTGCAGGAGGCAGCCGACTAATGATTCTCATCATTGATGTTTCTATCTCTCCCTTCCTCTCTGAAATCAATAAAAATATATATTCTTTAAAAGTCATACTGGCGACAAGATCCAGGTTGGCAGCTGTGCAGAGAGCCACCTCAATACGAATTTACTTGTGATTTTTAAAAAAGCCAGAACACAAACACCTTTGGTGAATGTGAGATGAGTCGGAACAAATGCCAGTAACACTGAGTCTTGGATGAGTGCTGGCGGCCTGCGGCATGCCCCTCTAGTCTGAAGACCAAAGCCCTGAGCAGCAGCCTTCGGGACATTGCCCTGAAGGCTGCCCAAGGCACCCACCCCGCCAACTGGAAACTGAGGGCTGGTCGTGTACCTGACGTTACTTGACCCAGCCATGCAGCAGGGATGGGCCCCGGTTAAGAGCTAGAATGGCCCCATGCAGCACCCCCACCACACACACCCTCAGGAGGGGGGTGCCAGGTCAGCCCAGACCTCTGTGCCCGCCACACATCCCCAGGAGGAAGGACCAGGCCTCGGTGCCCAAACAAAGGGAGCGATGCCCCCAGTCCCACTGACTAGAAGGAGCGAGAACTAGGCCGGTGGGCAGCACAGGGAGAAACAAGTGAACAGTTCGGAGAGGAAAGAGGCGGAAGTGAAAAGGGGGCTCCAGTTAAATTATCAAAATACAAGCCTTTCTTGCCAATGATTTTCCTAGTTTTCTTTCAGCCGCCGCGGCCTACTTCACCTTCTCAAACGATGGACGGTACCCGCTCTGTGACCATCGAGTTACATGAGCGCTAGATTCTCTTAACTAGAGCTACGTCCACGAGAAATCATCTAGTTCCTGCCACTAATGCCTCTCTTGGCCACTCAGCCACGTCTCCCCCATTTTCAGCTGCATATTGAACACTTCGCAGCTTTCTTCACAAAGAAGTCGCTTCCAGGAGAAATAAAGAAAGTGCCAACTCTTTTGCCGGCCAGGCCCGAAAGCGTGAAGGCTGTACACAGTGTTTTAATCCTGGAATGAAGACTGAAAAGGGGGGGGACAGTGCTGCCATCATTGTTCGAGAAGCATGCATGGCACTTAGAAAGTTACTTAAAAAGAAAAGAAGGGACAAAATTAAAAATAAATACAGTAAAAACAGAAAAGGAGATTAGCTAGACCTTTTGGGGGGAAATGCCTGCTTGGGAGGGTGAGGAAAGCAGCGTGTCTCAACTGGGGGTGCTACCTCCAGGGAACATTGGGAATGGGGGCGGGGGGTGTCTGGCATTAGAGGGAGCAGCAGGGATGCTTAAATGTCTTATCCCGCCTAGGACAGTCCCCCCCCACGGGAGCACTCTCCTGCCCAAAATACCCCATAGCGTCCCCGGAATACAAACACTGTTCAGTTGTCTTAGGCCTGTGGTCGGCAAACCGCGGCTCGCGAGCCACATGCGGCTCTAGACCGATCAGTATAATGGTAAGACAGAGCCATGGTTCTAGGGCAGTGATCTGCAAACCACAGCTCGTGAGCCACATGTGGCTCTTTGGACCCTTCAGTGTGGCTCTTCCACAAAATACCATGTGCAGGCGCCCACATACAGTGCGATTGAAACTTCATGGCCCATGCGCAGAAGTCGATGTTTTGTGGAAGAGCCACACTCAAGGGGCCAAGGAGCCGCATGTGGCTCGTGAGTTGCGGTTTGCCGAGCCACAGTTTGCCGGCCACTGTCTTGGGCTAGCTTCTCAGGAGAGGGGAAAAGAGACCCCCCCAAGGGGACCGGTCAGTCTCCCAGACAGCACTCAACTGTGATTCTCCACAAACCCCTGCCACCACCTGCCATCTGCGTGGGTGTCTGTGGCCTCTACCTTCTCTCCAGGAAAGCTGGGGTCAAGCCTATCTCATTATTATTTAAAAGTATTTTTATTGATTTCAGAGAAGAAGGGAGAAGGAGCAAGAGAAACATCAATGATGGATCGGGGGCCTCCTGCCCACAACGCAGCATGTGCACTGACCGGGAATCGAACCACCACCTCCTGGTTCACAGATCAACGCTCAGGCACCGAGCTCACCGCGCATCCGCAGTCGCTACAAAAGCGCCCACGGGGGGGCGGGGGGCCACCCCGTGGGAGCTCAGTAAATGCTCCCTAAACCCCACTAGTAAGATGGGCGCCCCATGTGCGTGCGGTCAAGTCCCCCCAGCCCAGCCCGGCCCGCACTCACCAGGCCGAGGGGGATATGGCCACCGCCAGGGTGGGGCAGGTTCCCTCTGCCAAGCAGACCTCCACGTCGAACACCAGGGCCCGCTCCTCGGGGATGGCCACGGGTTCGGCCTCCCCCGCGGGGCCGTACCGGGTCCAGCCCTCCGCCCAGGCCCAGCTCGGGGGCCTGGGGGG